CAGCCTTCATATTGCCCCCACCAGATTGGAGAGGGAACAGGAGGAAGGTGTATCCCAGTGACTGGAAACCAAGTGCCCCTCCCCAACAGTGCAATGGGATCTGAGAACATGGGCTCCAACCTGGGAGGCTTTAAGTGACTGCTTGGTGGGTCCTGGGGAGTGCTGGGAGAACTCTGAGGTCTCTGGCTGCTGGAACTGACCTCTGCCCACTTTACTTGGCATGCAGTACCTGAGCCAGTGGAACAGTCCACCACCTGTGTGGCCCTGATTCTGCCCAAAAGGTCCCAACTGCCTGATGCCTGCTCAGCCCTGCCCACCCACTCCAGGTCAGATCAGCCCCAACACCTCCACCACTCTGCTCTGGCTCCTCCCCAGCCATGGCTCTGAGGCTCATACACCAGAGCCTGAGCTTCCACCTCTGTGTCTCTAGAGCCGCTGCCTGGCCAAGGACACCACTGGGAGATCCCAGCACTGTCCCTGGGCACCAAGATCCCACCCCAGACCCTTTGCCACGAATGTCCACTTCTCTCCATCAGGAGCATGCTCCTGGCTGTGGTCCAACCAAATAAAGGGAGAAACTCCTCCTCCTTTGAGGACTTGTGGTGGAATAGGTGTGAATAGGGAAATTTCTGCTCTCCAGCATTCAGGGGTATGCACACTAGTGGGTCAGATACACAGACCAGGGGAAGTTTTAGAGATGACTTCAGGTGGTCAGGGAACACATGTGGACTCAACGGAAGGGAGTGTGCTGTGGGGGTCCAAGCAGCAGTGATTTGGGAGAGCACTCAGCCCTTCCCCAAAAAACCTGCACTACTGGACAAGGGTGGAAACATCTCAGCCTGGGACCTTAGCACTCAAGAGTTTAGGCCCTCCCCAGTGAACAGCCTTCCTAGTTTGGCCCTAGTGGCAGGAAGAGCAATATCTGAGCCCAGCAGAGGCTTTGCAAAGCCTTCCAGGCTCCAGCAATCTAGCCATGACCTCACTTGCTCATCCCCCCTACTTCAGTGGGAGGAAAGACCAAGCAACACCCCAGAGCTACAGGGTCCCCCCTAAAGCTTGGGGCACTCAACTATCGCAAGACAAGAGCTTACCATGGACAAAAAAGAACATCTTGACAGCTGGCTCTTTCACACAAACATCAACCAGTGACAGGGGGAATAACTATAACTCATGATGGTGCCTTCCAACTTAAGAAAATAAGGTATGGCTGATTCTTACTCACATATACAACCTGCCATCTCGGAGATTAAGCTGGGAGACCCAATACCATTCACACTGCTGGGCAGAAGTGAAGACAGCAGGTCAGAAGCAACCCAAGAGGACCATCAAACCTGCTTGAACACCTGACAGGCAACTCAAAACCAGCACTCCTCTCCCTGGTTTGGTCAGAGATCTCTCTTCAGAGATTCAGAGACAGGCCCACAAAACAGACCTAGTACCTCCAGGATTCAATCAACAGGCCAGAAGGAATCAGCAAAAGAACTAGGGAAATATGAAAAAATCAGAGCAAAAGGAAAACCCCAAAAGAAAAAAATAACTCTTTGCCAATGTATACCAACCAAAATGAAAATAGTGCAATGACAGATAAAGATTTCCAAATATGAATTATAAGGAAGCTCAATGAGATACAAGAGAAAATGGAAACTCAATATAAAAAAAAAAAAACACAAACAATACAGGATATGAATGAAAAATTAACTAAAGAAATCAAATTACTAAAAAAAATCAAATAGTACTTCTGTAAATGAAAAATTAATTCAAGAAAATAAAAAACACAGAGGAAAGTTTTAAGAATAGATAGATCAGGCAGAAGAAAGAGTATCAGAGCTTGAAGACAACACATCTGAAAAAAACAAGTCAGTCAAAGATAAAAAACAGAGAAATAAGAGGAATGAACAAAGCCTACAAGAAATATGGGATTATGTAAAGAGGCCAAATAGAAGACTCACAGACATCCCTGAAGGTGAAGAAGAAAACACATAAAGATTAGAAAACATATTTGATGGAATAATTAAAGAAAACTTCCCTGGTTTTTTTAGAAATTTAGATATCCAGACAGAAGCTCAACAAACACTTGGGAGATTAATCACAAAGAGGCAATCACCAGGACAGAGTCATCTGACTGGCAAAAGTTAACATGAAGGAGGAACACTTGTGAGCCATAAGGTGAAACCCTCACATAATTTACACAGGAAAACCCATCAGGCTAACTGCAGACTTCTCAACTGAAACCTTGCAAGCCAAAAGGGATTGGGGACCCATTGTCAGTTTTCTTAAACAGAATAAGGGCTAGCCTAGAATTTTGTATTCTGCAAAATTAATTTTCTTATATGAGGGAGAAATAAAGATTTTTTCAGACAAGCAAACACTGAGGGAATTTGTCAAGACCAGACTTGCCCTATAGGAAGTACTCAGGTCTATATTATATATTGGTCAGCACAATAGAAACCCCCCCATGTAAAATCACTCAAAAGCTAAAGCTCAGAGCCCATATACAATAATGGCTCAAGAGGTAAAACAAAGCAATAAGTTTCTACCCAACAAGATGAACAGAAATACATCCGACTTATCAATTCTTTCACTAAATGTGTACAGCTTGAATTTCCCACTTAAGAGAAATAGACTGGCTGAATGGATAAAAAAAAAAACAAGCCATGAGCATGGAATGGATTTCCATCTGTTTATATCCTCTGCTCGTGGATCGGCAGACTCAACATCATTAAAATGTCTATACTACCCAAACTGATCTACAGATTCAATGCAATACCTATTAAAATCCCATCAGCATTCTTCACAGCGTATTAGCAAACATAATTTTACACTTCGTATGGAACCAAAGAAACCCGAATATCAAAAGCAATTCTAGGCAACAAAAACAAAATGGAGGCATTAATATGCCAGATATCAAACTTACTACAAAGCTGTAGTAATTAAACAATCTGGTAGGGCACAAAAATAGGAATATTGACCAGTGGACAGCTCTGAGAATCCTGGATATAAAACCATCCTCATATAGCCATCTAATCTTTGACAACCAGACAAAAACATATTCTGGGAAAGGAATCCCTTTTCAATAAATGGTGCTGGAAAACTGGATAGCCACTTGTAGAAGCTAAAACAGGACCACACCTTTCACCTCTCACAAAAACAACTCACGCTGGATAACAGACTTAAACCTAAAGTATGAAACCATTAGAATTCTAGAGGAAAATGTTGGAAACACTCCCTAGACATCAGCCTAGGCAAAGGGTTATGAAGAAGTCCCCAAAGGCATCACAGCAGCAACAAAAATAAATAAATGGACATGATCAAACTAAAAAGCTTCTGCACAGCCAAAGAAATAGTCATGAAAGTAAACAGACAACCTATAGAGTGGGAGAAAATTTTTGCATCCTACGCATCCGATAAGGGGCTAATAACTAGAATATACTTAGAGCTCACGAAAATCAGCAAGAAAAAATCACATAACCGTATTAAAAAGTGGGCAAAGGACTTGAACAGAAACTTTTCTAAAGAAGACAGAAGAATGGCCAACAAACATATGAAAAAATGCTCAACATCTCTAATCATCAGGGAAATGCAAATAAAACCACAATGAGATATCACTTAACCCCAGTGAGAATGGCCTTTATCAAAAAGTCTCCAAATAACAAATGCTGGTGTGGATGCGCGGAGAGAGGAACACTCCTACACTGCTGGTGGGACTGCAAACTATTTCAACCTCTGTGGAAGGCAATATGGAGATACCTTAAGTGATACAAGTGAATCTACCATTTGATCCAGCAATCCCATTGCTGGGCATCTACCCAAAAGATCCAATGATACTCTACAAAGAAGACACCTGCACTCGAATGTTTATAGCAGCAAATTCATAATTGCAGGCTGTGGAAACAGCCAAGTGCCCATCAATCCAAGAATGGATTAATAAAAAAATGTGGTATATGTATACAATGGAGTACTGTTCAGCTCTAAGAAACAACGGTGATATAGCACCTCTTATATTTTCTGGTTAGAGCTGAACCCATACTACTAAGTGAAGTATCCCAAGAATGGAAAACAAGGCCACCACATATACTCACCAGCAAACTGGTATTAACTGAGCAGCATCTAACTGGACACATAGGTACTACAGTAATAGGGTATTGGGCAGGGGGAAGGGGGGTGGGTATATACATACATAATGAGTGAGATGTGCACCATCTGTGGGATGGTCATGCTGGAAACTCAGACTTGTGGGTGGAGGGGGGAAAAGGGCATTTATTGAAACCTTAAAATCTGTACCCCCATAATATGCCGAAATAAAAAAAAAGAAGAAAAAAATTACAACAAATTTGGTTATAAATAAAATTGGCTTTGATTTTGATTCTTAAACTGGGACAATTTTCATTCTACAAAATAGAATGACAGCGTGCCAGCTGGGCAATGACAAAACAGTGGGTTTTGAAGAAGGAAAAGGAAAGAGAACAATAGGGGAAAAATGGTAAACATCAAGTGGTGTTAACTTCATGTTACTTTTGTAAAGGGACTTTTTTCACAGAGAAGGCTTTCTTATTATGCTGACTCAGGTAGACTGGAATATACTCTTTTCAAGGAGAAAAGGGTCTGTTTTCTGATATATCCACTTCCTTAAAGTTTCAGTTTGATTATGCTGGCATTTAGCATACGTACCTTTATTTTGATTTGGTCTGGTCTGTTGAGACCTATTGCAAGAGCTAAGTCCTAAACAATGGACTATCATAATTTTTACTTAACAGGGATACAGTTTCAATTTTCTTTTCTGTTAGGCATTCTATAAGCCCTTTCAATTAAAGAACTGGGTTTTTTCCTAGTTCTGAGAAATGTACCTCTCTGACTTTCTCGAATTTTACTTTTTCTCCATTTTTTTCTCTTCTACTGTGACCTCTCTGTAATCTCAGTTTTATTTGCTTTTTCCTTATTTTAGTATTTCCTAACTTATTATCCCTTTCCGTTGATGCCTTCCAAGCAGTCATAGAGCTATGGTTTTCCAAATCACTAATGGTTCTTCAGCAATGTTAATCCTGCAATGTATTGTATTTTTTATTTTAAGTTTTATATTTTACACATTAACATTTTCTGTTCAATTCTTGTTTGTGATCTTCTGTTCTTTCTTATTTTTCTAATATCTCCCCTTAAGTCCTGGAGTATCTTTATTTTAAGTTCTTGTGCTATTTGTAATTCCACTTCAATTGGTAGACAGTGTGTTGGACTTTTTTTAATAGGAGTTTTACTCTTTGTCAATTGTTTGCCTGTGAACCCATGCACCCCTAGAGACACCAGCTGCTCTTTCTGGTAATGCAAGTTGATGAAGAGTCAAAGGCCGTGTATCAGTCTACCTCAGTCTGGTTAACTAAGGCAATAGTCTTCAAACTATGGTCCATAGGCCAAATCTGCCTCATGGCCTATTTTTGTAAATGAAGTTTATTGGAAAACAGAAATACCCACTCATTTACATATTGCCTGTGGCTACTTTAGCACTAAAGGTCAGAGTTGAGTAGTTGTAAGACACCATATGGCTCAAAAAGCCAAAAATATTTACTGGCTGACACTTTAAAGAAAAAGTTATTTGACTCCTGATTTAAGAAGTGGAGAGTGTTGCCAAGTACCATGAACCCCCATCATCACTTTAAGTCACTGCTGCTCCATCAGGCCACAGCTTTTTCTGGATTTCACCTTTGAGGTGGCTCCCCTAATACACAGTCCTGACGGTTTGCAAGGGAGCCATGAAGGCTTGACAAATGTGTGTGGTCAGTTCACACCTGTTTTCATCAGCAACTAACTGAGTCTAGGTTTTTGCACTGTCCTGATATGTCATGGCTGGCTGGTTGCAACTTATTTCTGTCATGACAGAGCAGACAATGATTGTCTAAAGGCATTACAGGTGAAAAGCAAAAGAATTTACAAACATTTTTCCAATGTAACCTCTCATTGCTTCTACTTTCTGCCCTAGGAGCCAAGTTGCAGCTACTGTAACCAGTTCAATGAACCAATTTAAATGACTCCTAAATGTTTTTTATTACCTCTCCCTTAACTAACTACTTGATTTTCTGAGTTGTTTCCCAGAAGTGGTGGATTTTCTGCAAGATAAAGGAGTTGAGATACTAAGACACACCATTCAACCTGCCTTGCTCCAAGGCACATAGCCCCTCCTTAAAAAGCCCATTTTCTCCTGTTAGTCAGATAGAGGAATTTGAGGCAGCTTCTTCAATTCTCCGAAAAACACATCTTTTGTATTAAAAAATTCGTTTCTTCCTTGGCAGTCCTCATTGTCTCAATAATTGGATCTTTGTGTGGTGAGCAAGTGGAAGTAGGTTGAAACCACCTTGAGGTTTTGATAACACCACTCACCTCATCCCAGTAAAGAGAAAGGCAGCCTTCTCCCTATCTGGAGTTGTCCACCCTTTGCTGTTGTTGTTCTGTAGTAGTAATTGTTGTTAGATTCTGGGAACCATGCCTTCCTCTTCTTTAGTTTCTCCTGAGTTGTTTTTCTGTGAGGAAGCCAGCAACACATGTGCCTTCACTCTATTGACAGTATCCAAAAGTCTCTAACCTCTATATACATTAAACCTGTCTCCATGGCAATAGCTTTCCCACGCCCTTCTCCACTCACCTCCAGTCCCTTCAAACATAAAAACCACTAGCCCAGAGAAAGGACTGAAGCCAAGAGATGAAGGAGTGAAACTCTCTGTGATTTTCTTCAGGAGTCTCAACTGATGACCCTTCCTTCTCATGTGCTCCAGACAGGTTATGACACATTATCTCCTGCCAGTTAGCACTAAAAACTGCCTACACGGCTTCATCCTTCAGATGCAACATCCTGATGCTGTAGGATGTGGCTTATAAAACATGAGTTCCCCAATATCCAACATATACATATCACATCAAATTTCATAAATCCTATATCACAAATGCAGAGAAGGTAAAGGACCCCAGCTGTAACTATCTATGATCCCAAATGGACACCATAAAGATATTCTATATTTTTAAAAATAAATCAGAAATACTCCTCTGGAAAAGAAAGTGGATACTGAATGGCCAACCCTACCTGCCATGACCCACCTTGCCAGATAAGGAATGCCCTAAAGACAGATAATGAAGGTAAGTGAACAGGAAAAAAAAATCGTACATAGTCAAAGCCCTATTTGGGAGTAGCTTAGGAAGAACTTGTGACGCATTTGGGGAATATATTCTGTGCTGATCACGTATAAAGGCAAGACATTTAAAAGTCTGGAAAGAACAAGGAGGTAAAGTATGCAGTCAAGGCAGGTTTGCATCTCCTATTTACATGTGGGTGCCCTATTTTTAGCCCTCCCAGCATAGTGCGTACAAGGGATAATGTTCCATGAATCAACCAGAATTTTCTCAAATCCTCTGAATGAAGAGGATGTTAATTAATTCAGGCTCCCTAAATGTATAAGACTTGATTGCAACTTAAGAGAAACAATCAAAAATAAAGCCAAGCAAAATTCTTACCTAGGCTCGGCCTTTGCTGAGGCTGGGAGAGTTCAGCGTGTCTGCGCTGGTAGCTGCTTTTGGCGCGAAAGATGACGGTGTGGTGGTTGCAAGCCCTGCCGGGTCTGAGGCCCGAAAGCCGCTGACGCCCTGCTGCGCCTGCGCGGAGACCCAGAGGGCACGTGATGGGCGTGTCATGGAGAGAGGAGAAGAGCGCTGTGCACGCCATCTCAGTGAGGCCCGCAAGGAGCGCATGAGAGCCCTTGGATCTAAGGTACAAAATGGTGCTCTGCTGTGTGAATAAATAATTCCTGAAAATGAAGAGGATTAAATAATTTAGGGAGTTCTTTGATGAACTTTGATAAATGGAAAAAGTATTTATTTAAAAACAATCCCTGGCCGGGCGCTGTGGCTCACGCCTGTAATCCTAACTCTCTGGGAGGCTGAGGCGGGCGGATTGCTCGAGGTCAGGAGTTCGAAACCAGCCTGAGCAAGAGCGAGACCCCGTCTCTACTATAAATAGAAAGAAATTAATTGGCCAACTAATATATATATATATAAAAATTAGCCGGGCATGGTGGCACATGCCTGTAGTCCCAGCTACTTGGGAGGCTGAGGCAGGATTGCTTGAGTCAGGAGATTGAGGTTGCTGTGAGCTAGGCTGACGCCACGGCACTCACTCTAGCCTAGGCAACAAAGCGAGACTCTGTCTCAAAAAAATAAATAAATAAATAAATAAATAAAAACAATCCCTGCTCAACGGAAATAAATAAATAAGCATTCAAATTACCTATTTGTATTACATCATACTACACCCATTCCCCTCACAGACCTCAGTTTATGTGACTGTAGAAATCAGAAATCCTCCTCTTTAGAGAAAGTGGGATACTAAACAGTGACCTCCACCTGCCACTACCCCAGCTTTCAGAATAAGGCTAAGCAGCCGTGCAAAGCAAGTGCAAGGGAGAAGAGTGTCCCTTGCCTAAATGTATTTCCCATGACACCTAAAACAATTCACTGCATATAGCTTATATATAATAATATTAATAAAATTCAAAAATGAATAAATTAAACATGAATGTCTTCATAACAATAAATGATTCTATTTCTGTCTATAATTCTCCAGAATCAAAAAACAACTGTTAGATAAAAACAACAGAAAACTCTTCCCCTAAAATATTTGCTGGACTTCCCCTAAAAGATTAAGAGAAGACAAAGAACTCTTAATATTTGAATCGGCATATGTGTACCCATCTATAAAGGTACAAAGTAAATAAAACTAGTGAAGATCTATAGAAACAACAGTACAAACTCCAAACTCAGCTTAAAATCAATGCTCAAACAATCTTAAAAAGAAAGGAAAGAAAAACTTTTTCAACTAGCTTTGTGATATTGTTTTCACCTCAAAAACAGAGCAGTTTACCCTGAATGAATTAATGACTTTCTCATCTGGAACAAATGACCATTTATAATAGACCTGAAATTCTCACTTGTGCTTTGAGAAATAAAACTGAAGTTACTTTTTTATACTTAGACATGATAGTACTATAGGGGCCAAACAGGAAAGCTCCCCTTAGCCTTCTGAAGTTTCACTGAAATATCAGCTCACAGCTCACAAAAGGCAGATTAATTGTAGAAAATGTATAAAATTCATTTAACATGTATACATGGGAGCCTTCAGAATGAAGACCTCAAGATATAGTGGAAATTATCCATTTTTATTCTTAGGTTGAAAAAAGTATGGACAGCTATGTAGAAATATGATTGGACAAAAAGGGCATGACTGCTAACACACTGAATGAGAAACCCAGCAAGGCCTGTCTGTCTGTCTGGATTCCTCTTGGCCTCTCTGAGCAGCATTCCTTCCTTCATGGTGTGGGCCAGGGCCCTCTCTGGAATGGGGGTCTTATGACCTACAATCAAACAAGTTTGGTCAGATAATTTCTTTCTGGCCAGTTTTTACACAGAAAGGTGGAGGGAAAGTTAGAGTAATATCATTAGGTTTATATGGCTGGCTCTAGGGGAAAGGGGTTCTGGTTTCTCTGACCCACATGGGGAAGAGGCATTCTCGTTTCTATGGCCACCCTCAGGGGAGACTGGGACGAAGAGACAGTAGGGCAGGAGAAGATCGAGGAAACATTTCTGTTTCTGAGGTCTTCATTTTGGAGTATTGTTTTCTGAGCCCCAACAGTATCAAATTAGTGGATCACTGATATCTACCTAAAAAAACACTAAAATATGTGTGCACAGGTATGAATATATACATACATATGTTCATATTTTTATATATATATGCATGATACATAAGCACATACACATATACTCACATATTTATGCCCATTTGCATTGTTATTAATGTATATAAATATATATACATACATATTTTAAATATGTAAGTATGTATGTTTGTGGTATATAAGAAAGTATGTGTATGTGAAGAAAAGAAAAAAGAAATATAAGAAAACAGGGCATTCAGTTTAAAATGAAATCGAATTAGCTGCCTCTGACATAGTCTCTCCCAACTTCCCACTAAAGGAATTATGAATTTATTGAAAATAAATCCTCTAAACTAGGACTCATAGTCAATCTACTGGTACTCATTCAAGTTTCCACCACCTATCCAGAAGTAACTGGATTTAGATGCCCACTCAAAGAAACATCCTTTGCAAGCTACTTAGAAGCAGTGTGAGCCTTCACAGTATCCTACTATGAGGACCTTCTCTTATAATTCTAACATTTCTGGAACAAGCCAGGCACACAGGCTTCTCAATACCTCATTATGTTTGCTGGCATCATGAAAGCAAGTAATAGGATGTCTCATGCTCAGTGAAAAGAAATAAAAAATTTCCTAATGCCTATGTAGGAGGTTTCCCCCATTAAAATGTCTTCCCCAGTTCTCACGCTTATCTCTTTTGTCACCATAACGTATCTTATCCCATAATATATAGTTTTGGGATTTGGGAGAGAGGCAAATAAATGCATTACCTTTCCTTTCTCAAACTTGAGAGTAATTATGACACACACAGGAGATAGATGGAAATCGAAATGTCACCCTACTACTGATAGGGTTGATGGAAGAACACATACCTTTACTTTATCCAAGAATTAAGGGTCACACATCCGGCTCACAAGCAGTGCTGAAAACAGAAAGGGGCCCTTATCAGAGGTAGAGCTTGCTCAGCTAAGCTTATAACACGGAGAGAGAACAGACCAAGATGCAGTGCACCCTCTCGAGGTCTGAAAACGAGACCTCCAGAAGGGCCAGTCAAGCATGCTCAATTCTTTTCCCCAAACTTGCTGGTCAGATAAGTCAGTTCTCTGAGTGTGGGTGGAGGTGTTAAAGTGTCTCTGCAAAGTAACATGTTTCCCGGCATTCTTTGTTCTGTTTCTTTACCACAGCGTCTTAAATTGGATGGTTGGTCACGTTAATTCTCAGCCTTTCTTCATATTTTCTAAGGAGCATATCTAAGCATTTAAAGCTATAAAATTTCTTTCATATACAATGTTAGCTGTATTGTACACATTTTCATGTGTACTATTGTCATTATCATTCAGTCCTAAGCATTTTCTAACATATATTATGATTTCTTTTTTATGCATGAATGTATTAGAAGTGTGATTTTAAAATTTCCAAGATATGGGTATTTTTTTTTAGTTATGTACTATTTTTATTACCTGTTATTTCCTTCTAATTTAACTTTATTATGGTTTGCAAAGGTGTGATATGGTATAATCCTGATTTTTTAATTTTTTCTACTTGTTTTATGTTCTATGCAAATATCCTGTGTTTGTTTGAAAAGAATGTATATTCTTTAATCTGGTGGTGAAGGGTTTTATATTAACACATGTCCCTTAGAAAAAATATGATTACTATTCCAGTGTTCTATATTCTTATAATTTTTGTCTTCTTGATCTATAAATTATTGAGAAGTATATTGAAAGCTCCCACCTATGGTTAATTTATCAATATCTCTTTGTAGCCTCAAGTTTTGTGTACATAGTTTGGGGGCACTTTACTTGGTGTTTGAAAGTTTGAATCTTGTAGAATCTATCTTCTTGTGAATTAAATGTTATATCATTATTTAGTGACTTTTTATCTACAATAATAAGGCTACACCTGCTTTCCTTTGTGTTTCATTTGCCTGGTATGTCACTTTGGATGCTTTTGCTATGAAAGTGGCATAAAGTATGTTTGTTTTTTCAAATCTTGTCTGATATTCTATATCTCTTAAATGAAAAGTTTAATCTATTTATATTTCTTCTGATTACATCACATTGTAAGCTTAGCTGAGTAAGCTCTACCTCTGATAAGGGCCCCTTTCTGTTTTTAGCACTGCTTAATGTAAGGTTTTTCGGTGGCAGTGAGAAGAAAAGACAGACAGAGAGGGAGAGTTGGGGCCAAACCACGTGGCTTTATTATACACTCGTGGACGAGGTTCTGGGGTCCAAAGAGAGGGGGGGGCCCAGAAGTCGCGCCCATTTGAAGGGGCTGAGGTCTTTTATATCCTTTGGGCCTGGGTAGAAACTTTTGGCGGGAAGAGCTGGGGATTTTCCATTGTGACCTTGGGTGGTCATTGAGGAAAGGAGGGACTGGAGGTATTTGTGAAATCCAAGAGCCAAAACATTCTTATCCAGGTGGACATCTGGGTGTGGATCCTCTCAGCGGGGCCTGGCAGTTTTGTCCTTGGCATCCTTGGCAGGTCTGACCTCACGAGCCTTTTCTTTTCTTTTTTTTTTTTTTTTGAACTAGGGAAGGGAGGGGGCCCGCCACCAGCCTTACACTTGTGAGCAGGATGTGTGACCCTTAATTCTTGGATAAACTAAAGGTATGTGTTCTTCCATCAACCCTATCAATAGTAGGGTGACATTTCGATTTCCATCTATCTCCTGTACGTGCCATAATTAGTCTCAAAGTTGAGAAAGGAAGGGTAATGCATTTGCCTTTATAGTTGGATCTATTTCTATTTAGATCTTCTGTTTTCCATTTGTCCCATGGTTTCAGTGCTTTTACTTTTTATTTTTCTTCTTCGCTTTGTTCTGAATTAAGGCTTTGTTTTGTTTTTGTTTTTAATTTTTCCCATCTACTGGTCTGAAAGTTGTTAACTTAGATTTCTATTCCTTCAGTAGAGATCTCTGACACTTTAGCACACAGAATTTAGAATATCTAAATTAATCAATATCCTTCCTGTCCTTCTTAACAATACAAAGACATTAGGACACTTTATCTCTGCTGTCACTTTATCTCTCCTGGCTCACTAAGGGTTGCCATCCAAAGAGCTCTGTCTTCTTTAAACCTCCAGGTTAGATGTTTTTTAGAATATCCTTTAGAGAGAGCCTCTTGGTGGCAAATATGCTCAGTTTTTGCTCATCTGAAAATGTCTTCATTATTTTGAAGAGCTTCCTGGGTGTAAAATTCTAAGATGGCAATAATTTCCTCTCATAGTCTTGCTTTCATTTGCCATGGAAGAGTCAGCGTCCATTTTTTGTTCCTTCATGGATAATGTTTTCTCTAGTTCATTTTATTTTAGTTTGTCTTTTGTGTTCTGCAATATCACTCTGTCGTTATGTGTTAATTTCCTTTTATTTATCCCACTTAGGATTCATTGGGATTCCTGAATCTGAAAATTGGTATATACAGGAGAAAAAGGTGTGATATTTTTCCTCATTCATCATAAGGGTCACTCATGGCTGACACTCCTATAACAAAAGACAGGTCAACAAGAGAAATACATAACAAATTTAATTATCAAAGTTTTACATGATGTGGGAGCATTCAGAAATGAAGACCCTAAGGCCCCAGGAAAACTATTTTTATGCTTAGGTTTGATCTATTTCCTTCCCCCTCCAAATATTTCCTCTGAACTTTACTGCAGCGTAAAATACTTGTGTGCACACACTCTTGAAAATAAATATAAGGAACTCTTGGTAAAATGATGTGGTCATTAAAATGTTTTCTCTGTGTACAGTCTCATATTTTACCTTCTACAACCTTCTCGAGCCATCATCTTCCTCACAAGAACCCTAGTGTCCTCTTCTCTCCTAATCAGCTGTTTATCATTTTACTCTGGAGGAAACATTTATGTTTTAAATTTTATAATGCTCTCCCAAATCTATTCGTATCTTTAACTCTATTTCCTGGGGAATTCTACCCAATCACATCTTGTATAGTCTCTCAAGGCAAGACCTGAAGCTACTTTAAAATCTAGATTTGAAAAAATTGCACCTCAAGAACCTTACCACCCAGAGTCTGCAGCTGCTGGATAAGCTGGGGCCAGCAAGGCTAAGGCAGAACTGACTGGAGCTGTTAGAGGACTATTCCCAGGAGTTTCTGGGGTTCAAGGTTCTTCCTGCCAAGTTCTCAGGGTGTGGCTCCTCTCCTTCCAGAACACAAATCCACCCAAAACATCCTCTCCTACCAACTTTCACTCCTTTACACTTTCCCCGAAACCAGCCACTTTTTCCCTCCCTGCAATTTCCAGATTCCTCTTCTTTAACGCTTTCTCCAACTTTTAAAATAAGGCTTACTTTTTTCCCCGTCTTCCAACTTTTTTTCTAGGTATAAAACTAATGCAAGATTATCATAAAACTAATTGCAAAACTGAAAAGGCATATGAAAGCGCTTAACCCCTCTCACCCCGAGATAACTGATTTTAATTTTTTACTGAGTGATACCTTTTGGGTTCAAATTCATTGGAAAGTGCAACACCAATAAGTTTGTGAATGAGTTAGATGGCCAACAACAATGGCTCTGTTTCCTGTGTGTAGTTCTTGTAGGGAGGCCCAACAAGGAGAAATACAAGAGAAGCATTTTAGAGAGAGTTCTGGAAGGCTCCAGGTAACCAGATTCTATCCAGGTTGAGCCACCGTGCAACTGTAAAATCACCCGTCCCCCAGTGGTCAGTTTCCTTATTTGTATAATGAAGGAGTAAGACCTGAATAACTTTACATTTACTTCCACTGAGCATTGTTATTTATTTTCTGGTTGCCACATCCCAATTTGCATTTGCATATATTCTACATTTGTGTTTGATTATGATTGTTTGTTTGTATCTGTGCTCCTCTATTAGATTAAATTGGTAAATTTGTCTTATTCTTTGCATCTACCCAGATACACTGTATATTGTGATAGGCATAGAATAAAGGAAGGAAAGATGGAAAGAGGGGTGACTTTTAAGATTATTGATAATAGTTTTTCCCCTGTTGAAGACTCAAAGGCAAAAGCTTTTAGAAAATAAAACAAGTTCACATGTAAATTTTACTGGAGTCTAGAGTAGACCTTTAAAGAATTGGTTTATCAAATAAAATATACAACAAGCATTTAAAGAAAAAAATGCTTCCAAGTTTACAGTTAATCTGTTCATAGTGGATGTTGGGGCAAGGGGAAGCTTCCCCTTCCGCGGGTCAAGGGGCAGCTTAATATGAGAAAAGACATAAAAACTTACTTGATTATAGTTTTACATAATATGGGAAGCTTAGAATGAAGACCCAAAGATACAGGGGACATTGTGCATTTTTATGTTTAGGTTCAACAAAGTATAGACAGCCATGTAGAAATATGATTGGACAAAAAGGGTATTATTTGCTGCTAATAAACTGGTGGGGAAATCCAGTAAGGCCTGTCTGTCAAGGCCTCTCTACCCAGCATTCTCTCCTTCTTGGTGTGGGGCAGAGCCCTTTCTGGAATGGGGGTCTTCTGGCCTACAGTCTAAACAAGGTCTGTCAGATCATTTTTTTATGGCCAGTTTTTACACAGAACAATGGAGGGAAAGTTAGAATAATATTTTTAAGTTTTATGGCTGGCTTTAGGGAAAAGGGGTTCTGATTTCTATGACCCACCCTGGAAAAGAGAGATTCTAGTTTCTATCGTTAGCCTCAGGGGAGAATGAGACTGAGAGACAAGAGGGTAGGAGTAGGTCAGAGAAAAACTTTTGTTCTGAGGCCTTCATTTTGGGGTATTGTTTTCAGAGGTGTTCCTTAGTATAAAGAGTATTTTGAATCAAAGGCCCTTAGAGATTAACAGGCCCTTAGAAGGGCTTTCCCTCTATCTGCATAAGCAGACAGACCCATCAAAAGAACAATTGACTTCCCTACCCTTCTCTGTTATCTTACTATATTGCAGGAAGGAAGAATGCAACCAGACCTGGCCCAAATCATTTTAAACACCACACCTGTCTCTGGAGTTAATTTACAAGTCAATCTGTTTCCCCCCCATCCATTCATTCTCCCAAGTATCTATTCATCCTCCCTACAAACCATTTATTGCCCCTAAACAGAATTACCTATACTCCTCCTCTCCCCCTTCCCGCTAAAACCAGGAGGAAAATACCTGGATCCCATTGGGGTATTGAGTAATCACTCTGTGATTCTCCCTGTGTGCACAGTAAATAAACCTCTTCCTCTTACTAACCTGCCTTAATCATGAGTTGATCTTTTAGCAAACTTTCAGGGGAAAGGAAACGTTTCCTCCTCACTTCCACCATGGAAAATGAGCAATTCTCTCAAAGAATTGCTATTTTCACAAAAGTCATGACATGTCTTTACACATCTGCTTACTACGGTCAGGAACAAAGTTGATTTTGTTAGGGGATCTGTAATTTACATTACTCAAGGTTTTATTTATTTTAGAACTAGACAGGATGACCTTGTTTTTTTTTGGTACGGGGAAGTATTATTTATCTCAGTGTGCAAGGAGGTTGGTGGTGTTGTCCTTGTTTTTGCTGCTGCTGTTTTTGCCTTTGCACTTGACCATGGGAGGTGCTGGGAATATCTACCCATAATTTAACAGTGAAGGTGGCAGTTTCATTCCCTTAGCCCTCAAAAAGAATAAAATCAAAAAGGTTCAAATGAGCCAAAACAACGGTAGAAGTCAGATTTTCTCCAAAAGATATAACATGGCTGGCTTTTATCAAAGATGGATTTCTCAGGTCATTCTAATTTCATTTTCCTCTCTGTGAAAATGGGGGAAAATATGAAGCTGAAAGGGAATCCTTCTGTCATGTAAATCATTTTACTCTCTAATTCACTTGTTTGCAAAGTATAAATTAAACGTCGAGATAATGATGTCACGTATTCTGTGGAATAATGTAAAAGGCTGTCCTGCTGGGAAAGGCATGAGGAAAACTGGGCATGGAGGAGAAAACAGAGTAGTTTGTCATGGCTGTAGTAAGGTTTTCCCTTATGCTCAAGTATATTTCCACCCCCACATCGCCAGGATGGTCTGGCCTTTATTTCATTTTATTTTTTGAGACAACTCTGAACATTTAGCTTGATCTCTGTATCCTCTAGAAATTAGGCTTTTTTGGTCATAACTTTAGGCCTGGAAGAGATGGTAGGGTCAGGGGCTTATTTTTCCTGAAAGCACTCTGGAATGATTGTGAAAGGGGCTTAAGTTTGTGTAGAGCAAATGTTTACTGAACCAAAGAATGGTTGCTTTTAGAGACCAATACTGTAGCCCTATGTTTGCACAGAATTGCAATCGCATGGAATACTTGGCTTAAAAGATCTTTATACCTATTTACTCAGTCATAAAAACTAATGTACAAATAGTTTAGCTAAGAAACATTTGTAAAGAAAATGAATATTGAGAAGAGTGTTCAAGTTAGTAGACTCTGTCGGTTGGAATGAATCATGTTTTGATAAAGAAAAAAAAACAGCATTTCAAGCAAATCATGTATCATGAACCAAAGCTTAAAAAGGAGGTAAAAATGAACTTTATATGCATAGGAAAATTGATATTAACAATGTTTCCATATTGGATTTGAGGTGCTACTAAAAGGAAAAAAGATTACCTGCATGCAAAACCAAAACATGCCTCCCCCAGAATATGCTTCTTTGGCCTGATTTGAGGTGGCTATTCAGAGCAGCTGCAGGCACAGGGATAGCTCTGAAAAGCCATCTTTTTGTGGGGGAGGTTTGCATCTGTAGAGGAAATCTACATTAGTGAAATGAACAGCAAATGCAAGTAGGCTTTCTCAGAGGCCCCCTTACCTGCCTTACCTGAGTCTAGGAAAGATTAATTCACAGGAAAAGGACATGAAAGGGCTGACAGTTTTAAAGGTCTGAGAAAGAAACTGTCACCACAGGCTACCAGGTATTCTTTCTGAGGATTGCTCCTTTTGAGACTTCATCTGCATAACCTTTGTTCACCATGCATTTCTTCCCCTCATAATCTGTCACCATCTCCCTCCCCACTCCCCCATAATCTGTTGCCACCTCCCCCCAGGAGCTCCAAGCCTCCATTCCTTTCTGTATGGTGTAAAATCTTCAAGCATCCGGCCCTTCTTTTAGTCTCTTATTTTGTGTGACTCCAGTGCACTTGCACATCTATTGATACAACATATCTATCTATAACATTTGTAAGCTTTTACTCCTGATAATCTATTGTCAATTTGTTTTATACAGTCAGATTATTGAACCTTCAGAGGAAAAGTTTGACCTTCCCTACATATGCTTGGGTCTTGATTCTCCAGAAAGTAAGGGCTGACGCCCAATTTACTTACTTATCTAATAGCAATATAACCTCAAAAATAGTGTGTCCAGGAGTAGTTCCTGAGAAATAAAAATAAAATCTGAAACCTCCAACCAACTGAATGGACCCCCTCTTGGCCAATGGGAGGTCAGTCATGTCTCATTATAGCTCTCCTTCCTTAACCACCATTAAGCTTTTCCCCTAACATTAAAACAGAACCAACCCTTTGCTCCAGACTTGCTCCATCACTGATTTCAAATAATGCCTAATGCTGCCCCTTCCTTTTTGTGGTTTCAGCACTACAAATGACAAGCACTCCTTCCCGCCCACTGACCATGGAGTGGTTCTGGCCAGTCTATAGGAAAAGCACAGTGAGGGTTTTCATGTCCTCTTTTTTACCTTTTGATGTCATAGGGCTGAAAATTCGACTCTTGGATCATGCTAATGCTGCCATTTTCTGAACATGGATCCCATGAAGGAAGAAGCATAAAGCTCAACATGCTCACTCATGTGCATGCCTGTGTTTGTCCTTTTGCAAATGTTCATGACTCTTCCTATAACTTGTTAAATATGTATATTCAGACACCCCACTCAGCATAAACTCCTTTTCCTGCTGCCTCTCACTCAAAGTACCTGTTTCTGGCTTCTGGCTGGAATCTATGCTTTCCAGCATTTCAGAATGGCCACCATGCAGGCTGTAACCCTTTATGAAAAATAAAGCTCTTCTTTCCAAATTTATGAACCTTATCATTCTTTAGTTCACATTCCTCAAACATTTACCCTGAATTTTTAAAACTATTTAAAGTTTATATTGTTATCATTTTTGGATCCCTCTTTCTGTTCCTGGTTTACCCTCCACTGTCATCAATTCCACTTGGCTATTTTTCTCAGCTAACTAATGTCATTGATATGCTTGCTCAGAATAACTTTAAGTGCTAGTTTAACCATTTGGATGTTTGCATTTTAAAGGACAACTACAGTATAATCCAAGGCCAAAAGTCATTACTCTCCAATGGTGAATTTTCAGGTACATAACACAGGTAGAACTGGGATAATTTTGGAAAAGCAATCATCTTGCTACTACTAAATTCCTACCATATACAACATTTCATAGTCTGACTTCATGTAAAGCATTCCCTGGGTATCATTCTGTTATAGAAACTGATGGTGCCCTTGATCATTATAGGTTTATGGATTATGAATCCTACCATTTACACTGAGTTTGATCAAAACTACTCTACCTATGCCCAACTTACAGCACAAGCAAATTCAGAACTACGTCAAGTGATGATTCAGAACAAAAATGCAGAGATCACTTGTGTCTAATGTTTACATATCATAGAATTAGAGTGGATTTCTATCTTACAAAAATATTCACTTCCGGCCTTGTTTACCTCACATTAACTGAAGTTACGCAACTTGAAACGTAACTTGGGGAATTAAAAGCACCGTACAAATGTGGAAATTTTCTTCTGGTTTATACAGATTACCATGACTCCAAGCTATTTTGCTATATTGGTGCTGGTTCATATTTATCTTCTTTACATTCTCTGCCAGACCCCAGGAAGTAGAGGTGGTTTGTTGTTAGAGACTAAGACCCTCAACACCCCAACAACTTGTCCTACACACAGGCCTCGCCCTAGAAAATTCCCAAGACAAAAATAAGCACCCAACCCTCCAGCTATAGCTCCGAAAAGAATGCATTCCATGATGTGCTTGCTCCAGGGTGTGCTACCTGCAATTGTTTGCTCCAGGGTGTGCTACCTGCAATTGTTCCCGACCCCTGCCCCGGTTGAGGTTGAGTGATCAGTTACAAACAGCTTCAATGCCAATAAAATGCTAATTGGGGCTGATTGACCCAAACCCAAGCCTCATCATCCCCCCACTCTATTTTTCTGTTCATACTTCCTTGTTTCTGTATAATTATAAAACCAGCAAAAAATCTAAGTAAAGTAGACCTTAACAACCATTTACTTGGTCTCGTTCCTTTCTCTCTCCCACCTCTTTCAGGCACGGTCCCCCTTGGCGCCCCCCCCCCCCAGAGTAACAAAAGGTCCCACAGCCAAGACAGTTTGTGGTATTAACAGGAGAAAGGGTAGGTTGGCAGTACATAGCCCTACAATAAACTGAATTTTTCTGTTGCCCCCAAATTTATGTGTTGAAATCCTAACCTGTAAGGTGATGGTATTAGAAGGTGGGACTATGGGGAAGTGATTGGGTCATAAGAGCTCCGCTCTCATGGTTGGAATTAGTGCCCTTATAAAAGAGACCTCAGAGAGCTAGAAAGTCCCTTCCACCATTTGAGGACACAGTGAAGTGACAGCCATCTAAGAACCAGGAAGTTGGCCCTTACCAGACAGCACATCTGCCAGCACCTTGATTACTCAGCCTCAAGAACTGTGGCAAATGTATTTGTACAGTTTATAAGCTACCCAGTTTATGGTATTTTGTTATAGCAGCCCAAACAGACTAAGACAATACCCTTTAAAGGAATTACAGATGAAATAAAATGAAACCTCAGAGGATCCACACAGATGAGAACAGGCCATAATAGAGAATCCAAGGCAGGTGACACTCAGGAACCAAGGCAAATAGGCAATCACCATTCAGGTAGATAATCAACCAGTTGGGAAGTTTCCAGCTACTAGGTAGTGTTAGAGCAAGCCTCCAACTTTGGGAAGGGACCTAGGAGAAGCCCAGTTATTACAGCAATAACTTTTGGTTGGTGAAAATTTGGGGAATGAAAAGAGAAAACACTGAGTCTCAGGATCCAAGCAAGAGCCGAATGTTTAAAACTGACTTGGATTAGAAACTGAACCACTTGATCTTAGGGTCTATCTCCTGCTGCAGGTCAGGCTTGGGCATGGGAATGGGATGAAGAAAGGCATCTGAAGAGGGTTATCTGGGTATGGCACAGAGGCTTGGGCATGCAAAGCCAGGAATACATCCGGGCCTCGCGTTTCCTTTTATGTCATAGCACCATTTTGTGCTTTCTTCTGTCCATTCTCCTGTTCTAAAAATGCTTCCTCTTCTTCCAGAAATGCTGTATTCTCAAATTCAAACTCTGTGTTAAAATCTGTCATTTAGTAACTGTATGACTTTGGTCAAGTAACTTCACCATTCTGTGTCTCAGTTTTCAGATATATATAATAGTAATAATAGTAGTAACAACTTTACAGTGTTACAAAAATTACAAAGACTTAGTGTTTGTAAAAGCACTTAAAATAGTACCCATCTTACAGCATATAGTAAGCACTGTGCAAATTATTTGCTTTGATTATCATTATCTTTATTATTGTTATTGCTTTGAGAAATTCATATTTCCTCCTGACTTGGATCAACTACAAATTTTATACTTGAATTTTTAATCTCAGCTGAAACAGAACAGAAAATGAATACATTGCAGAACAGAAAATGAATACATTGGAATAATTCTCTGAAACTGTAAATGTGGTAATAACCGGACTGGATCTTCAAAGGACACTGGAAAATCCCCTAACTCCATTCTGATTCCATAGATCATTTCTCTGTTCCATGCCTTGTAAGTTTTTTCAAAACTCAGAAATTTCACCAGCCAATCTGAGGCACCTGAGTTCTGAAACAAAAGATGGCATTTCATATTTGGAGAGCCAGGAAGAATCAATATTATTTTCTTAGTGATGGTTGCCTACTCTGAGAAAATCTAACATGAATCATTTCCCTAGTAGCCTACGGTTTAGTCTTTCCACTTTGTATGGTGGATCCAGACATGTGGTGGTTAAAGTATGTATAACTGGGGAAGCCACCTTTAAGAAAAAGAATGAAATTATAAATAAAAATGAGATACAACAATGAGTATATATTTTAAATGGGGAGAGATCACCACAAATTACAAATTAAAAAGCAAGAAAATTCTATAAATATTACTGAGTAAAGAAGATTACTCTGACAAATGTAAGTGGCATCATCTAATCTGTTGAGGGCCCAAATAGAACAAAAAGGTAGAAGAAGGGTGGATTTGTTGCTTTTTGAGCTGGGATATCCATCTATCTTCTCCCACACTTAGACATTGGCTCTTCTGACTTCCCAGTTTCCATAATCATGTAAGCCAATTCCTATTTTATATATATATGTGTGTGTGTATATAAGATATATATCTTATAAGATACATATATCTTATATATATGATATATATCTTATGATATATATATCTTATATATCTTATATATACCAATAAGGTATATATATATATGTTCTATTTCTCTAAGAACTCTGACTAATGCATTTTTCATTACCCACTATTATGGAAATATAATTTAAAACAAAATCTCCCATCTCAGAAAACCTCTCCACAAATGTATTAGAGAAAGAAAACAACTTTATTATTGGATAAGTATTAAACCAAAATATCATGCATGTTAAGAGATTGCAAAGACAGAAAGAAATCTCACCCTTTTATATAGCCAAGCAGATACTATCCATTAAGTAACCATTTTCAAGGCTAAGAATAGTTAATGCTCAAGAAAGAGGACTTGACAGTGAAGGAGTGCAGGAAATTTCACCCCAAAATACGATTTCTTGGTATAAAGAGTATTTTAAATTAAAGGCTCTTAGAGATCAATAGGCATTGGAAGGGGCTTTCTGTCTATTTCCATAAAGACAAGAGGGAGTCAGCAAGAAGAACAATTGTGGGGGAAGGGGTGAAGCAAGATGGCCAAATAGAAACCCCCAGCAATCATCCCTCTGCAGGAATACCTAATTCAAAAACAAACCGCACAGGCAAGCACCTTCAGAAGAACCAAAAGTCAGATGAGTGATCATACCACCTGGTTTTAATATTATATCAAGGAAAGAGGCACTGAAGAGGGCAGCAAAGACAATCTTGCATTGCCTATGCCACCGGTCCCCCAGCAGTGCTATGTCTGCCGGCCAGGTAGAGAGAAAATCTGTGTGCCTGGGAGAGGGACAGTGAAGTGATTATGGGGCTTTGAATTGAAACTCGGGGCCACCCTGGCACAGGGGAACATAGCACACAGCAGAATTCTGCTAGTATGCAGAGAAAGAGCATTTGACCAGCCCAGCCAGAAGGAAATTCTCCACCCCAAAGCCCAAGATCCTGCTAGCCCCACCACCTGCAGAAAAAGAGCAGCCTGGAGCCTGGACTAAATTCATAAGGTAGTCAGGCCACAAGGATTGCAGTCCTTGGGCAATTGCTATGGCTGTGCTGGCTCAGAGCTAGTGGACTTGGGGTGCACATGACATAGTGAGACACCAGCAGCTGCAGCCAAGCCAGTGCCTATGTCTCCCTTCCCCCAACTATAGGCAGCCTGGCTCAGGGAGTGTCTTCTTTCACTTGAGAAAAGGAAAGGGATGAGCCCAGAGGATTTTGTTTTGCAGTATGAGTACCAGCTCAGCCACAGTAAAATAAAGTACCAAGCAGATTTCTGAGGCCCCTGAATCTAGACCCTAGTTCCTAGGTGGCATTTCTAGGCCCATTCTGGGCCAAAAGGAAATATGCTGCCTTGACGGGAAAGATGCAATCCTGGCAGGATTCATTACCTGCTGACTAAAGAGCCCTTAGGCTTTAAATAAACATCAGAGGTAGCCAGGTAACAGTCAGAACTGGCTTTGGGTGAGACTGAGCTGGCTTCTGGTGTGACCTGGTGCTAGCAGTCATGAAGGAATGCCCACATCACTCCTCCCCCGGCTCCAGTAGCCAAACACAGAAAGTGAGGGAAGAAAGAGACTTTACCTGGTAATCCAGG